AAATAAAAAAGTCCAATAATGGTACTACACTCGAGTGTACTTTATTTAAAATTTGACTAATTGTATTGAAGACAAATTTCAACAAAAATTATTTTAAACTTTATTCGTACTCAAAATATTATTAATCTAAACTAAGTGAAATACCGCTTTTGAAAGAAGTCAAAAGATTAAAATATCTTAAGATGTTTTGTGTACATAAAATATCGATTAAAAGTGGACATAATAATAAAATTAATTTAATCAAATAAAAATTTAAGCATCTGTGATATAATTCTACGACATCTAATAAAACTTTGTTTGATTTATTGAATTGTATTGTTATTCATTTAAGCTATTTTGTTTTGAATCAACCGAAACGAACCTCATCTCATCTGTCATCTGTCATTCGTCTATAAGCAACAAAAAAATATTTTTCAAAAATGACTAAAATCTAAAAAATCTTTGTTTTTTATTAATTAAAGACATATTAAAAATAATGTGTTTGTTTTTATTTATATTCTGCAACCAATCGAAATGTATCGTCATATAATAAAAAGTATTTGTAGATGTTTGCACGAGTATTTGCATGGCCTCATATGACGAATAGATACATTTGCCGCAAAGCTATAAATTTCTGTTTTATCTTGCATTTTTAAATCTCATCGTCATTAGTTTTGGGTATTTTCTTGGAATTTCAATTATTTTTTATTTTTATAAATATTTAGAATTGATTTCACTAAAAGTGTCAAATGTCTGAATTGGGTATAAGTTCAGTTATGGGCATATATTGAGTGTGAGTTCTAATTTAATATTTTGAGTAATGTTGTCGTCAGAGCCAAAAAAAATGTTTTATAAAAAGATTATAGGCAAATATAGTAAAGAAGGCTTAAAGATACTTAAAGTTGCTTGAAATACTTGGCGTTTTATGTCAAAGCCATGTAAAAATCATTGATTCAAGTGCAAATAAACAAAAATCTAGTTCAGTTGAGGTGTACTAGTTTATTACAAAACGCAATAAGCATTTTAAAACAATTTGTAAAATGAAAAATGCATCTTAAAAAATATACAGAGGTATACCTAGAGGCATACAGAAACAGATTAATAAAACTTTCTTAAAGTGTGATCAGATTTTCCTAAACTACATCTTACTATATTATTCTATTCGCTGCTTCTTTACTGCAAGCTATTATTTTCAGTGCTCTTAAATCACTAAATATATGCCATCTTCTGCTTCTTTTCTTCTCTTTCTTTTTCTTCTACATCACTTCTTATAGACATTTCACCAGCAGTTTGTTTTTTTGCTATATAAGCAGGCATACCTACTAAGTGCCTCCTATTCACCTTTGATAATTTTTAGTCAAGTATAAGTATCAATTAGCATAAATTTAATATTTTTATATTAACTAAAAATATATAATTACAAAAAGTACTTAAAAGTACGGAAAATTTTTAAAATGGTTAAAATATTTTTGAATTACAAAAAAAATTAATTTTTAGTGCTGCTAGGTAGCACTGTCATGCTAATATCAGCACTAAAATACATTTGAAAATATATAATGAAAATGTTCACTACATTTATAATGTGATTTTTAATATATAACGATGATATTCTAAATATTACACAAGGTGCACATAATTTAGACCTTCCTAAGGATAGCCTAGTTCGTTATTAAGCACTTTTTACCAAGTTAATTATTATTTTCAGTGAATGACTTTTAGGTATTGGGACACTGGGTGTAAATCTAGGGTGCACATCTCTTATATAGTAAACACTCTGAGAAAAGTTTCGAAAATGTTAATAAAACGCAAAATTCTTAATCTTCATCAATTGAAAATTTTAACCTGTTAAATCTAAAATGGATTAGATCCAAACTAATATATCGAAATGGCAACCAGAAGCATTAAAACGATAATTTTTCAATAAACGCATTAGAATGACAATGCTAACTTACGAATTATATTTTAAATCTTAAGAAGTCAAAACGCAAACCAATAAGTGGTAATTTGAGGTTGGGAAACAGGAAAAAGTCACACGGTGCAAGATCAGGTGAATACGGTGGCTGTTCGATGGTATTTATTGAATGTTTGGCCTTAAAATCGTTGATAATGTTGAACAAATTGAGGTGAATCGGAACAAGCCGGGCGTTGACACGTCGCATACACAAATTGTCCACCAAAATCAAACGAGCCATCTCACGACCGATGCCTAGCTCTCGTGCTATCTCTCTAACACTCACATGAGGATTTTTGAACACGATTTCCTTTGCCTTTTCAATGTTTTCGTCGGTGGTAGAGGTCGAAGGTCGTCCAGAACGCGGCATGTCTTCGACGGTCGTACGACAGTCCTGAAAGGCTTTGTACCACTCATAAACTTGAGTTTTCGATAAAACTGATTCCCCATAAGCCTTTTGTAGCATTCGCAACGATTCTGCACACGAAATTTCGTTCGAAAAACAAAATTTGATGCAAACTCTTTGTTCAATATTTTTTTCCATTGTTTTTTTCGCAACGCACTACTGAGGTGAACTGGTTTCAACAGCTGCCGTAAACGAACTGTCTGACAGATCGCGCTCATTTTGGCATAGTAATTAAGGACAGTGCTGCCAAACTACATAAACTTAAAATATCGAAAAATATACAGCGCGCGAATTTTAAATGAGAATTTCCGAAAGCTTTTCGGTCACAATGTATAATAAAAATTTTGACCATATCCATAGTACAAGTTTTAATATATATTACGGTTATGTACATGTAAATTGAATGTAAATAGTACATAAATATTTTGTAAATGGTATAAATGAAAAAAAATCAGTTAATTATTAGCAACACTTTATTATCACATTATGGGCAGATACATATTAATTCAATCAAATTACTTGCAAGTATAAGTTATTATTTTTAATATATGCCTTAATATATTTTTACATATTGAAGTTTATAATCAAATTTTTCATTTTTGTTTTTTTACAGATATTGAATTTGAACAATCGAGTATTTTACCGACTACTTTCCGACCGACACGACCATCTATAGCGTCTTTTAGTTCCGCGCAGGATCGCGAACGAAAATTAATGAATGTCTTAGCGGCACGCAGAACTGCTTTACATCGTGGTTCCTTTCGTAGTCGTGTTGGAACGACAGGACGTACTGCCACATCAATAGAAACGACTTCAAAGTCTCCCACCGATCCACGTTCAATTTGTATACGTAATTGTACCAAAAACTTCACACGACGTACAACTGCTGGTTGTATGCGTCAGTGTGCAAATTTCTCTCGTACCCCGACTTTAGCAAATAGCAATAGTACAGCTAATTCAGTCAATGTCATAGTGCGTCAGACTTCGAAGACTGGTTTAGGTACACAAGGCCGTGAACGAGACACAAATGAAATACTTTTTACCGATGAATCTTCACATGGCTTATTTGTGGTAGCAAAAGAACAAAATGATACTCTTAATCATATTACGGAAACTGGAAAGATTGGGAGTGGAACTAAAATACGTAATCGTGGTAAACCCGCTATAGCTGTTACATTAGCTTCAACGTCGATAGAAGATGACGATATGCAGCCGTATTTATATTTTGGACAAAAGTTGCCACCACTAAGACCATCTTTGTTAGCAATTACTTCGGTTAGTGATGAGCATCCAAAATTGTTAGAAGTATCTGTAGCGCAAACAACCACAACAACGCCTGTTGCAAAAATTTCAACTTCAACTCTTTCTGCGGTAGAACGTAGTCGTTCGCGTTATAAATATAATATGCGCGCTAATTGGAGACGTCCGAATACTGGTAGTAAATCGACTGTGCCAACAGGTGAAATTGAAATAACTCAACAAAGAAGTACAACTAGTAAACCAAAAATAACAAAAACCACTTTGGCTACCATAGTTAAACGCAATGAAGAAATTAATGAAAGTATGGCGCCAAAATTACAAATGACCACAGAATTGCCGACATCACCAACGCCATTGATAATAACAGTACTCGGCGATGAGGAGGAGTTAACTCATCCTAATGAAGACTTTAGTATTATGTCCAGATTTAAAGATGACACCGAAGTAACGCGTAAGATTTCGAGTACACCACAACCAACGAAAACTACAGCAAGCAGTGCAAAAACCACTACATCTGAACTTACTAGTACTACTACATCCACTACAACTTTAAAACCAACTACTACTTCAACTTCAACTTCAACCTCAACTTCGACGTCAACTTCAACTACAACAACCACTACAGTACCAACAACTACCACCACACCCAGTACCACCACTACAACCACAGTCTCGACCACCAAATCAAAAGCAACTACTATTCCAACAAAACAAGACACCACTACACCCAAACGCAAATCCATAATTGAAGAAGATACTGAACGTTTACGAGCTATGGGTCCCAGCTTAACACAGCCGATCAATATGGATGAGAAAACAAATTTAATTATTTTCATTAATCGTACTTCTGGTATATATGTACCGATAACTTCGACTACAATACGTCCAATAGTTATGCCAAACTCACCTACCACAGACTCTTCGTCGACCATACTTCGTACTACAGTATTGACATCTGTGCGTTCCACTGTTAACCCACGAACAACAACTACTACAACAACAACCTCTGCACCCGCCACATTTGTGGGTATAATCGAAACGGCTACTGTTGAAGCTTCTATACCACAACAATCTACGGCTAGTGGTAGTGATATAAGTTCCACTGTCGTTACAGATGATCAAGAAATTTCCCTGGAAATGCATCGCATGAATGTGGCTACTATGGTCCTAGCTGGTATAGGAGTATTTCCATTAATAGCTGTAGTGGTTTATTTGGTGCGCACCTATGTATTGCGTAGACATGCCAAAAATGATGAAGTTTTCGATGTTTGTATAACAGATCAGCAACCGATTAGTCCGGTCAAAAAAATTGATTCCAAACATTATAAAGATGAAGATGACGATGATGTCGACAATCACATCCATAATTTGCAACAGAATTTACAAAATAATTTGAAAATACGTGACGCTAACCATAATCATCGCTTTGATGAACACTGTTCAGTGACAAGTGACCAAGAGTTTGATCGGAGCAATATACGTTTGAAGAGTTTACTAGGCGAGGGTAATTTTGGTCAGGTATGGAAGGCTGAAGCTGATGATCTAAGTGGACACTTCGGTGCTACGCGCATTGTAGCTGTGAAGACTATACGTGCTTGTAGCGCACAGGTTAGTTTGAAGGATGAAGCAAATATTATGCGTAAATTGGGTTCACATCAAAATGTGGTCACACTACTCGGTGCTTGCGTTGAAAGTGGTTAGTATATAATAGTTTTTTTCTATTTTTCTAATAAAATATATACGTTTATTTTCTTAATAGAACCACATATGCTTATAATGGAATATGCTATGCGTGGACGTTTACTTTCTTTGCTACGTGCAGCACGTAATGCAACAAATATTTTGCCAGCATCTGTGCCAGGTGGAAGGAGCTTGGCCCCATTATCACCGCGTACTTTAGCTGGTTTTGCTTTGGATATTGCTTGTGGTATGGAGTACATTGCTGATAAAAGGGTAAGTAATGAGATAATCTTATCGAAGGAGTAATTTATTTTTTTTTAATTAAGTTAGAATTTCGATAGATTATGCCACTTGGAATTGTTTTAAAGAAGTCTTGAGACCTTCTATTGACGTTGAGCTGTTTTGTTTTGTTATCATTTTGAATCGTTATTTTTTTTAAGAAATTTACTTCCAAAAATTAATTATTCGTGCTAGATCTTTTTAATCAACTTGAATAATTAGTTTTACGTTATCTAGTTTCTTAATATCTTTGTGATTCAGTGAGATTTATATAAAGACATTGAACTGTTTTCCCATCAGCTAGATTAAACCCATGATCATAATATTAATACAGACTTAATATTAAAATTTATTACCTAATATTAATATTTTCTGCATATTTTGGAATACAGCTTGTATACTAATATCCACTACTTATCTAATAAGAAATGTGTTCTTAAGGATTTCAAATGAAATGAAAACTAATATACATGAAGAGCTCTAAAAATAACTATATATAATATATAGTTACATATCCAATTATTACTTTAATTGTATACTCTGATAAAAAAAACAATTGCTTGTCATGCAAATAATTTTAAATTTTTCTTAATTTTTCCTTTTTATTATTATAATATTATTTTTGTATAAATTATATATACATTAAGATTCCCATTCATCATGATATGACCTGAAAGGGTGTGAGATTCTCACAACATTTTATTTCATATATATATTCGAAATTCTTCGAAACCACATTTTTATTACGCCAAGACTTATACATTCGTTGGTCTTCATGCCTGTATCTTCCCATAACTCTCTCCATATTTTCTATATAACTTTGGTTACAGTTTATATATTAAAGCCTAATGAGGCTAAAGGTAACTTTTTCCTGATTTTGAAGTCCGCCAACAAAGATTTTATACGTAGTTCTGATTATTAGTGGCTTTAATGTATATAAAGAAAGTCACATCTGATTTTCAAAAACGTCCCATAATAGGTATTAATTGCTTTTTAGGACTTCGTTGTTTATATTCGTCTTTAGAGTTTTATACTTTTGCAAGACTAGTTATTATTCTTTTAAAATTTAAAGTTAAAGTTCTTATATTTATAAAATCCTTTAAGGAATATATTATTCAATAATTTATTATATATTCCAGATTGTACATCGTGATCTAGCTGCACGTAATGTCCTATTAGACCACAATGGCGTTTGTAAGATATGTGATTTTGGTATGTCAATAGACTTAGATGCAGAACGGAAGAAAAAAGAACAAGAAAAAAATTGTGCCAACGATATCATGCGAAGTAATTTAAATAAATTTAAGTTCGATTTTGGTGGACGATTTATAATGCAACACTGGAGTAATAATTTCAGTGCAAATCACTGCATACAAAATAAAGAAACGAATGAAAAGAAGAATCATCATAACCATGGTCATGGACATGGACATGGTCATGATACGATAAGTCGACGACCTGCTTTACCCATACGTTGGATGGCACCAGAAGCATTACAGTTTCATGTCTTCACAACAGAGACAGACGTATGGGCTTTTGGTATTGTGCTTTGGGAAATAGCAACTTTAGGTTTTTTATTAAAATATCAATTAAAGAATCTTATATTGTAACGACTCTTATCTTACAGGCTCCACACCATACTCACAGCTAACAGGGCGTGAGGTCATACGTCGTATACCACACGGTTTGCGCCCAGATCTACCCAAAGAAAGTCGACATGAATTTTATAATTTAATGTCACGTTGCTGGCAAAAGGACCCACATATGCGTCCATCGTTTACACAGGCGCGTGTAGAAATATCACGTTCTATGCATAAATGGGTTGAAGATGACTCGGCTGCTTCTGATTATATGGATGTTAGCGGTTTCAGTGAAGATCTGGAACATGGCATGGTTTACTTTAACCACAGAATATCTGAATTCGAGTGCGAAATATGACGTTGACTGAAACGTTAAACCCTCTTCCCACACATCTACCTACCATTACTGAGTTTTTTGTATACGTATTTACCCACCCTCATCACTTAACACTCCATTTATAAGAACACATTTTATAAACTATTTTGCAATTCAAGTGCTAGCAGCAGTATTATTAACAAGATTTTGTTTTTATTTCGGTTAATTATTTTTTTATTTTGTGTCTAAATTGTTCACATATTTAACAAAAACAACAAGAAATGAATTTGGTACTTTACGTTACTTATATTAAATTAAGTTATAGTTCTTAGTTCACTTAAGTTGTAAATATATTTTTATTAGGATATTTAGTTAATAACTACTCATATTTATAAAAATATTGTTTAAAAATTTAGTTGTTGTATATTTAAAAAATATTTTTGTTGTATTTTAATGAAAATTTATTAGTTTTTCTAGTCTGTATTCGAAACGAGAAAAATTAAATCAATTATTATTTTATACGAATTTTTAATTTAAAATCGTGAACAATATTTTTATTGTTCTTGAAAATTTTTTATATGTAAATAATATTATTTATAGTATTTGCAAAATGCAAAAATGCACGAATATGACATTAAATTAAACTGTAGAAAATTTGCAGTAATTCTTTTTTTAAGTTATGATAAATGTAATTAACAAGAAAATTAAAACTAAATTGTATATTGTTAACTTTTATTTAGTTTAAGTTATTTGCAATAAATTGTAAAAAATTAATATTTACACTAAAACAAGTTAGTATTATTTCTTGACTCAAGACCTTAAGATATTTTGCAACTCTAATAATATATACTTAGCCTAAGTGATTTTTTTTTCTTGATATTTGGTTCAATTCAGTCAATAAAATATTCAGTCAGTTGACCCCAGTGCATTAACTAAAAAATAACATTAAGTGCATAAAATAATTTGGCAAGTCTAACGCGAGTCTAACTCATTTGCATTCGTGCAAATGTAAAGCAATAATAGAATCCTCTAGACACGATTTGCTTATTAGATTTCTGATGAGACCTGTATTGGCCATATGGTGATTATGCCTTGTGATGATTGTGAGATTCTTTATTTTAAAGAATATGTTCACTGTTGAAATGGCTTGCAGGTTTTCATTTTCGACCCAACGAAAAAATTCTACTTAGCCTGTGCCGAAAATTAGTTCTGGCTCTATGAAAGTATTCTGGCTCTATAAGATTTGATTTATTACACTTTAAAATGGTGTTTAATTTTATCTTACATTCAATTATCATCTTTGAAGAACTTTAGAAGTTAACAGCAGCTAAAATTACAGCTTGCTATACTTTCTGTGTCATATCTTCTCGATAATCCAATAAACCACATACATTACGGCATAAAGTTCTGCTAAGAAAACTGTTTTCATAATTGAACTGGAAAAGGAAATAACGGTTTCATGTTTCTTAGTAGAGCTACTAGAAAAATAGAGCATTCCATTTCTACTTGTAGTGTATTAATCTAGTTTCCAGTTCAGTAAGATGCACGGCAATAATAAAATTTTGGCTGAATTCAGAATTATCGTATAATTACCAATTGTTTGAATTTATGTTGCTTTTTGTTAATGAGTGCTTTAAGCTACTCCAAGAGTATCAAATAATGTGTAATACATTGTCTTCATAACATTCACCGATCTATATACTCGTATACTAAATGTATTTGTAAAAATCGCAGTGAAAGTGGAAAGACAACTTCTTTAAGTAATAAAAACTGTTCTGGATCAATTGGAACATTGAAAATTTTCTATATATTAAGATATATTATGTATTGAGCGATGAATGGGTGTTATTATATAATTAATTTGTTTATATTTAAGAAAATTTTTTTAGTTAAATAAATTTCTGCACCATCTGTCACTTTTTGGCAATCAATACTAATATTAATTATATAATTATATTATTAAATATTCATATTATTATAAGAAAATACTATATTATATAGAGTAAGAAATAAATGACATGTGGCCTGTAGCAGTCGATCCATTTCTCTTACTACGAATTGGATACTTATTCATATTTACTATTTGCATTTAACATGTATGCATATTTGATACGCAACTATAAAAACAATTAGAATGCGAGGTAAACGTAAATGTATGACTTTCCAAGACAGATGTATAGTTTCATGCTCGATAATTAATAACAGTTGGAAGGGTACGATAACTTCTTGAAAATTTGAAACTGAATTATATGTTTAAAGAACTTTTCGTTAATAAAAATAATTTTAAAATATTTTAACTATTAATAATAATATACAAATATAAAATATTTGAAATATACTGAAAGCCTAAATATATGCAAGAATTTATACAGTTTTAAATTTGAAATAACTTAGCGCAATGATAAAATATTAAATATATTAATTCAATATATTTTTCTATTGAAAAGAGCATGGTTGTTATGATGTGGAAGAAAGCAAATATTCTTTTATATTTTCTTTATGTGAAGATAAATATCATCAAGACTAATTTGAAAATCAAACTTTTTATAAAAAATAGCAGAAAAATGATAATTTAATAAAATTTGATTCACTGTTAATTAAATTAAATTTATACACAATAATTTGTTGATAGTAGTGATCTTAAAGAGAGAGCTACATTATATTTAAAAAAACGTCTTGTGCTCCAGTAGGTGAAAATGGAAGCCTAATTCGTTTCATTTAAATTGCTTGAATTATAAGGAATGTAAGGATTTTGTGAAAAATGCTATAACATGTGAGATATTTAGTTCCTTCTTGTGATAATGAGAATTTTGAGCTTAATTATCTTAAACAAAAACTTGGTATCGTTACATAAGATATTCACAGTATGGTTTAAATCACTCCGCAAACTTTAATTTCTCACTACATCCGTATTCTACAATTATCCGAATGGTACTCATATTTTTCCAAGAGAAGTAACCTAACCTGTGATAAGTGCATGAGGCAAGTAATTATGAATCATTAATATTATTAAAGTTTGATTTACAGAACTAAAGCCTGTTACTTGCATTGTTAGTTAGGAGTTTTTATTTCGAAAACTTTAAATTCGGTATATAATAAATTATAATAATATATTATTATTTAACTGTAATTATTATTATTAAGTCTCACGATTTCTCTCTCTTATTTTTTTCTCATACTCTTTTATTTTTTATGCTTACTTGGTTTCGCGTTCCTCTGACTTCAATTTATACAATTAATTGTACCATAAAATCTACTTTGCCTAGCGTTATTTCTTTATCCAACACAAAACCGCTAATTAGTATCTTTTTATGCATTAGTAATGGTGAAGTTACTCGCACTAATATGGTGGTCTAATCCTAACAACCTAGAATATTCATTAAAGAAAATTCCTTGCTTCGTCAGATTCAGTCTACAGTGCGTACCAAAATACTTGGAATTATTTCTTAACTATAGCTGTCTATTTTTATTCCTTAAGTTGGTTTCTTTATTTTTTAATATCTTCTTAAATTGGTATCGGTTAAGGAGCTTCATAAACGATTTTAAATATGATAATTGTTCCAGCATTGTGTCTTCTGTTTCTGTTTCAGTATAGCCTTTTTATGAATGAATAAAAATAAATTACCTCTCCACTCTTAAGCTACAGAGTGGTTTCGAAGTTATAATAATATAGTTGCTTATTTTCTGCAAGTTTATTTATCATTTCATTACTGAAAGTAGCAAAGGGGCATACAAGCGATAGGTCTGAGGATCATAATCTTTTGATGTTTGTCTGTAGTGCTTATAGTGACGCTTAAGGTTTAAATGAAGATATCTGTCTATAGCATTAACTTTTATTCTTTTACTTTGTATAATATACACTGTAAGTTACAATAATGCCATAAATATATATTCAACAGTTATATATTTGTCAAATGTTTTCAAGTACTTCAACACGTAGTCATATACGCTTATGTTAGTTCCTTCTTCATTGAATTTATTTGTTGAAAAATTTTTTTTTTTGTTTGGAAAACGTTCAGACAATCCACAAGCTCCATACCTGATTCAAAACAGACTTGATACCTGTCTCTGGATCTGATAGTTGCGTTCACGTAAAAATAAATATATTTAATTATTGCATAAATTTCTATTTACAATATAGTTGTGTTTTTATGAAGTGAAATCTCTTTCAATTCTGGAACTGGCGTGTATGAGACGTTTGTCCCAATTATGTTTTCAGTTCGGAAAGATACCGTGTACTCTGTTCACACCTTGTTGACTATATACCTCGACTGAATTGGTCTATTAAGCGTAATCGATTTAGATATTTAAATGGATGTATATCGTGTTAATTTTAGGTAAACGTTTCTTTTTAAATTCAACAAATGACTTGGATTCATCTATAACTTGTTAATTAAGATTGCTTATGATAACACTTTACTTGTAATATACTTATAAGTGGTCTCTCCGTATTTACTACAGATTAAATTTAATCTTCTCATATAATGAGTACAAAATTATAGTAATAATGTGTACATTTATACGATTTTTACGATGGTACATTACTTTTGATGTTAACATGAGTTCGAAAAACTTGCATGTATGTACCATCAAGATGCATTTCTTCGTATCTACAGCATTCATCATATCATCGAAGATACTGTTTAAAATATATTAAAAGCAATTTATAAAACTAAATATGCGTAAGTCTTAAGCCAAATTGTAATTATTGTTGGTCAATAAAATCGAATTGTAAAATTAGTTGCTTTTCATTAAAAATGTGAAAATATCTTTTAAGTCTATAAAAACTGTATATTTTTTACTTCGGTATTATGGATAATTAAGTCATTCAGTTGTGTTCATGTTGCATTGCGTGGAAAAGTGAGAAAAAAAATTGTTTTAAAGCCTCAGGCTTCGTGTGTATTAAATAACTCAGTGGCACGGTAGGTTGACTATGAAGATGAGATCTTCAAATGAGTTATTAACTATGGAAAAAATATGCATTAACGGCTGTTAAAGTCAAATATTCGAAAACTTAAAACTAAATATAAAACCAATAAAATCAGAATGAAAACGAAAGTGTGAAATATGCAAAGTTCAATTAAATTTAATTTCTGTTTTTTAGAGGTTCGAAGTCGACGATGGTCGCGCCTACGGTAGCAGATTGAATTCATTACTAAAGCTCAGGTTAAGTTTAATTTTTAATATAAACTTTGATTGCCTTTAGCTGCCACCAAAATGATTACATGCGAACCGTTCTGCAATTTTGTGGGCAACTGTTGCTGTTGTTA